TAAGCAACCCGATCAGATCGTCCCTCTGTGTTTTGTATAAAGCTCGTGGTCATTGATTTACTTATGTAATACCTCATATTACCAGCTATGCGCCAACAAGGAACAGAAAAAAGGGACGGGGAGTTTTGAAGCGGCCACTGGGACGAAATAGTATGAATTCTTTTCCCGTTTTAAGGTTGCGGTAATGGTTTGAAATTTTAGGCAAATAGGCGTTAGTTTGATTAGCGTGACAATGTCAATGGAACTGAGAAACAGAACAAAGTAAAAAGAAGCGTGACAACTGGACATTCTTATCAGCTGAATAGTGTTAATTACATTAAAAACTCCGCATGCACACACACGCACACACACACACACACACACAAAACAAAAGCAATAACTCTGATTATGGAAATTCTCCATTTACAATGGCAACAGAAAATATCTACCATAGCAGTTGGTTTTGGTTGCAAACCGTTCGATTATATTTTTATTCTCACTTTGATAGCAAATAAGTCTATATTAATTAGCGACGGATATAGTTTAAGGACAATTCAAAATCTGTTTTCTGAGAATAAGTTTTCAGGCTGTAACCTTGAACAAAGCAAGTTCTAAGAAACGGTTAAAGTTGATTGAATAACAGTAGATTCTGGGAAATGTAATAACTGCAATCTCAGCCAGGGTTTTTAAAATCATAAAATACTCTGGAAAAGACAAGAACCCAATAAACACAGTGTCCGTCGTGTAACTTACTTACCCAATGTGAGCTATACTACCAGGCATTTTAGTTCCTGGGTACTAATCAATTTCGTCTATTCGCCCACAGCGAAACGCTCCATTAATCTGCTTTATAATAGGGATAATATTGTGACACTCTTGATTAAAAACTTTGATGTGATTCACATGTCCCTCATTAAAAAGATAACATTTACAAATGTAACAACAAATATTTGGTAATAGAGCTCTGAACCCTCATATCTTTAACCCCGGGCCCCGGCAAAAGTTTTTTCCCCAACTCACGTGGTTTAAACACATTTAAGCACGGTTTAAGCACTGTTCTCCTTCCTGACCAATGTGGGGTGTATTGATGACCGACTGTGCCAGAATGATAGAAAACGAGGGCATGACTCTTTTCTGGGAACGTTAGGTACACAGTGAAACATGCCATTAAACAGAAAACTTCAAAGCATTCATTCAGAACAGTAGGTCATAGAAGACACGTTATTAAAATTGTATTAATGTAAATGTGATACCGCCTGTGTGATTCATGGTGGCTTTGAAGTCAGTAGCTTCCTCCGCGTCTCGAGAAAAAATGGCATCGATATCAGTTCAAGGGAAGGACAAGTTATCTCATTTTTTTCATTAATTTTCTTTTGAACTTCTAATAACCTTATCTTTACACGCTACCAAGTCTTTTCCCTTTTCTGTGAGTTGTTGACAGTGTTGCCTCGGAAGATTAGAACTAATATTGCTTTAAGATAATTTACACAGAAATGAATTTGATTTCACAGAAAGAAATGTAATAACCTAAATGCTCCTATTTTTTGTCTGAAAATATTAACAAAACACCAAATGATCACCTGCTATCAATGTTTTATCATCATTAAGTTGAATTTGGAGAATAGTTGAAAAATGTCCACATAAATTGGGGGAAAAAACTGAACTGACTGAGACTGGCACCTCTGCAGTGTCAACGACCCCCCAACCCCCGGACTTCCATTCCTAGGAATACCATTCCTGTCACACCTGTGAAGGATTTCTATAATGCCAGTAAATATGATCAACTAAGAAGAGGAAAAATAACACTACACGATAAAGAAAGACATTGTCAAATGCTGTATGGTTTCTGTACTGTTGGGAAATCCTATTTGTTTCATTATGTTCACAGCAATGAGCGGACTTCCTCTTTGTACATGTATCAAGTATTAGCTGAGACTACAGACAGCAAAATCGTTCACACGTGCCTTCATTACCACTTCATGTCTACCAAGACACACCAAAGGTACACTTCGTGAATATTCCAGGAGGTGTTTCTCAGATTCTAAGCCGCTTATGCACATGACGTCTACGTGAACAGTTGCGATAAGCCATTTATGTTGATTTTACTGCTAAATGAAAATACATCACCATAGAAAACAGATCATTGTTAATAGCAATGGACATGCAAGCTATTTTAATTAACAATAAGTTTGAGGCTTCCCAGAATGCATCTCATTGTCACTTCTCTGGTGAATTATAAATGTCATGAGAGTTGCTGTTCAGTCCTGGTAGCGGTCATCTTCACCACTATGTGGTACCTAGTCGGCAGACCTAACGCAATGCACAGCTTCTATTCTCATAGTCTATTTATAATTAATTAATTGTCAGAACACAACACAACACAACATAACTGTATGTCTGCGTTTACAGAAATATTGTTTAGGATTTAACTTATAATATTGCTGTATGCATTGATCGTATAATTATTGCTAAATGTATTGGTCTTGTAATTAGAATTCAGACTTCTGTCCACTTCCGCAAAAATTGCTGCATGTTATTTTTGTCGTAATCTATCCCATAATATGTGAATATTATGTAAAACATGTAACATTTGTCGTAATCTATCCCATAATATGTACATTTTGTAAGACATGCTGACGTTAATATGCCATCCCATCCTTCTTCTTTAAAGCTCTGCCCATTGTTTATCGTAAATTTAACCGCTGTGTAAATCGATGCAAGATAGTGAACGATTTGCGTTTGGAACTAAATAAGATATCAACATGGAAATGGTCATTGTTTTACGACAAAGGTGTGCCGTACAATCTGGTGCCAGTGGTTGCTTTTGAATTTTTTGAGCTCCAGAAAACAAAACATCATTTCGCCTCTGTCTGACAAAATCAGAAGTAAGCCTATAAAAAAGATTCCCCAACACCAGATTGTTGATGTAATAGTTATTGTTGTGATTAAATAGGTGTTAAACCGGAGTCTTTAACTGTTCATGTGAGGGACATCTGTTTGAAATAAAAAACACAATTACCCTCCCCCCCTCCAATATGACAGCATTACCCTATAACACGGCAATACTTATTTCTGCATAATCTAACCGGATAAGGAAATAGATCCTAACGTATTGATTCACCTTTAGCCCTTCAAGAATACTATAATGAGCTAATACTATTGATAATATTTAGATAGATACCGATCCGATTTCAAATATGACTTAAAATTACTGTCAAATACATCATGCTAAGTAATCAACTGTTAACGTTACTCGATTATTTTAAAATGACAGTAGTACATGTATATTTGCTATCGTGTGCTGTCCATGGCAGGACACGCGGCGCCCAGTTTCTACCAGAACTCATACTTATAGAGGCTACTGGGTCTTGGCACACGCGTCAGTTACTGCCCTGGGGGAAATCAAACCAGCTCCATTGCAATGCTCACCGCAGTCTGGTCAATCTAATAACCGTTAAAGGTATCTTCTTTTCCACCAGATAACACTGCCATTGTGATAACTGGGTCGTCATTTTACAGCATGGGCATTTTAGAATAAATTAGAAGAAAAAGAAAGTGTTGTACACATGTAATGGGGTAGCATGAGGTTTCTTATGAACATTCCGTCACGTGCGTACCATTTCTGTTTCGCAGTTCTGTAAAGGGTATTTAAATATCTTTGTTTTAGCATTCAGTTTCATAATACTTAAATGCGTTTTTAATCATGTCTGGAGCATAGAAAGATTCTATAATCTCTGCTAGTCTGTAATTGTCAACATAACTACATCCTCGACTGATCCGTGTGCTTTGTGGCCGCCAGCTTTCATTTTAACTTAGGGACAACATTCAAAATGTTGGGGTGTGGTGTCAAAGAGTACGTTTTCAATCCATCCAATTTTACTTCTCAACTCGTTCTTTGTTGAGTTGCCTTTATCCTCTCCTGAGACTCAGGATTGATGGCAAAGAAATGATTTTTTTTACATTTATTGAAAGCTCAAATATGTCTCTGTAAAAGCCTTCACCTTATGTTTGTACATGTGACATTTATCTGCTTAAGCTCTGATACACCATGTATGGGGATATTTTTAGCAAAGAAGCACTCCTCTTGAGTGACAGAAAATGTCCTGTGCATCATAATGACTCATGAACAATTAATATTTTGTTTTATAATAAGATTCTAAGATTATATTTAAAACTACATATTTATTGGACATAACTCACACCTAAATGTACTAATTGGCCTCTCATAATCTTATCTCACTCACGAATGTCTTTTAACAAAGCAACACAGACGGTGAAGTCCCCACAGTTCATTTACTCCCACAGGGGGCCTACCGGTAGAGTGCAAACACTTCGTATTCGGTCTCTTCAGACGCATTTGGTATTAACTGTTTTAGTTCTTAACACAACAGTAATCGTCTACGTCGATGCATTCAAGATTTATAATTCCCCATTTAAGCTTCCCACCTGTCTCCTCCAACAAGCTGTCTGAATGACTGTACTTCAGTGAAGCTTTTCAAATTGAAAATTAAAACAGTCGTCTGGAGAAACGTTTTAGGACCAAAGCGGTTCATCAGTGACCCTGTGTGAGCCGGCCAAGAATCTGTATTCAGTTGAAAATGTTCTTGATATGACATTCCAAAAGGGCGCTCTCAGAACAAGTTAACCGTGGACTTACTGATTAAATATGGCCGCCCATTTAAAAGAAATGCCGCTTATTATTTAATGGGCCCCCTGCTTCCCACGCGCGCCGTCCTAGCAATTTAACCTCGGAGCGAAGATTTAATCTGTTTAATTGCTAGGCCCCCTGCAGTGGTAGGGTCGCTTTCAAGTGGGATATGCCATATTTGATCCGTGGACCAGTTAGCGGATCAACTGTTCTGTATGTGGCCAAACAGGCTGATACCTCTCATCCCCGCCTACAACATCCAGATATTAACTTAAAAGTCATTTCTACATCTCATACTGTCTACGATGAGTGTTCTTTGTGTCGTCTTTTTGGCCACTTTTCTTGTTGTCCCACTTGTAAGAGGGGACCAGGATGTTTTCGCCAAAAAGTTGCAGATATTTAAACTGGAAGCTCACATTTCCCTCATCACAGGGAAGCTGAAGGCAGAGTGTAGTGGCCATGTCGACCCTGCCCCAGAACACGCCATGCTGATTGGGCGCCGTGCTGTCTTACTGCTCGACCTGGATCTGGAGACAGAATTCAAGAAAAACCTGTTTGACCAGTTAGTAAAGGTAAATAAGGGGCGACAATACTTTTTTTTAAAGCAATGTGGATAATGAGTACATATATATTTACTATAAAGTACGTATGAAGTCAGCGCACATTCCCTATACACTGTATAAACCACTTCTATTGGTTTGTTATACTACTTAAATAAAGTCGCCATGCCAAGGCATAAATAAAATTAATCACTCAATCAGCCATTAGCAACAATTAAAACCGCACCTTTTTAGAATTTCTGGTCGTAAAGCTACCGAATTTTCTGTCCCTCTAGTTCGTAAAAGTCCGTCAAATGAGGTAGTAAAGTATGGCACATTATAACTGCTGCACCTGCAGTTATTAAAATGAGTTACCGTAAACTCTGAGGCTTATATACATGTATATAGCACAGAAAGAAAAAAAGCAGAAAAGGCTTGTTCAAATACCCTATTTCGGGAAATAGGAAACGAAGCAATTAAGTTATGATATATGGAACTATATGGCGGCATTTGAACGAGTTTAATGGCAAAAATTGACTTTTGATGCATCTGTAATTTATAATGCATTGCTCTGCATACTTTTTCCAACGAAAAAAAAACTTTTTAAATTTAATCAGGACCATTCCCAAGCTGAAAGGAAAGAACACTGTAGTGGAAATGAATTGTTACTGAAAATAATTTCACTGTTCAATATTTTGCCAATTGTTATACTATTATCTTCTCATTCTGGATAGTTTACGACAATATTGAAAAATACTTTCAAATTACATGTCCGTATTATCTTCCAGTTGTATGCGGAGTGCAGGCTACAGCAGACAACAATTCGGAAGAACCCCTGGCGCCGCACTGCCGTCCCGTGGCGGACAACGTTCCGGACAACCCCCTGGCACCGTACTGGCACCCCATGGACTACACGTGCCCCTCCTACACCTCCACCTACAGCTGCCCCGCCTAGACCTGCCCTGGTTACACCTGCCCCACCTACACCTTCACGTTCACCTGCCCCGCCAACGACCACCACACAAATGGTCCACTACTTGTCGTAGCTACCTCATTTTAATAAGAAATAAGAGATAAATTCAGAAACCGTCGGTGTGACTCACAATCATGTAGTGCTTACGGGAAAATATAAAACCACAAAAATGCGACAACGTTGTTAAAATGTTTTTTAAAGCGTTCCATTGTCGTGTGGTGTTTGATATATAAATAGGTGGTCGTTCTTACTACTTAATTCAGTTCACAACATGGCCGGTTGCTCAGTACTGTGGAAGAGAGATTCTATAATCTCTGCTGGTCTGTAATTATCAACAGAACTACATCCTCGACTGATCTGTGTACTTTATGGCTGCCAGCTTTCATTTTAACTTAGGGAAAACTTTCAAAATGTTGAAGTGTGGTGTCAAAGAGTACGTTTTCAATATATCCAATTTTACTTTTCACAACTCGTTCTTTGTTGAATTGTCTTCATCCCCTCCCGAGACACAGGATTGATGGCAAAGAAATTATTTTTTTACATTATTGGAAAGCTCAAACATGTCTCAGTAAAAACCTTCCCTATGTGATTGTACGTGTGACATTTGTCTGTTTACGCTCTGATATACCATGGGGATATCTCTGTATGGGGATATCTCTGCAATTATTAGCATAGCTCTTCCCTTTGGTGACGGAAATCAACTTAATTGTCTATCATCTGTAAAAAAACTCATAAACAATTAATATTTTGTTTTGACATAAGATTTGTAGTTGACGCTTAAAACTTCTCTTATTATTTCTTGAGATATATCAAGTATTTTGACATGAAAGTACCGGCTAGTACAGCTGTCTCATAGACCACGGTATAGAAATGGTCAAACCCTTAGTTTACAATGACCACGGTATACAAGTTGTCAAACTCTTAGTTTACAATGACCACGGTATACAAGTTGTCAAACTCTTAGTTTACAATGACCACGGTATACAAGTTGTCAAACTCTTAGTTTACAATGACCACGGTATACAAGTTGTCAAACTCTTAGTTTACATAAAAGGACATGTAACGTTTGCTGTAAGAAGACGGTCTAAAATGGAGGTTGGATCAACAAAGATAATGTGAAAGACTATCAGAAAATACATCTGGGTCCGCCCCTGTACTTGGATGTACAGTATGTATGGTCATCTAATAATCTTATCTCACTCACGAATTTTCATCAACAAACGCGACGCAGACGGTAAAGTTCACATAGCAGATTGACCGGTACAGGGGGGGAGGGGCATACTGCAAAGAGTTCGTACGAAGTTCAACATTAGGTCTCTTCAGGCGTGTTTGGTATCAACTGTTTTGGTTCTTAACACGGCAGTAAGCGTCTGATGCATTTAAGACTTATAACTCCCCAGCCACGCTTTCTACCTCCAACAATCTGTCTGAATAACTCTACTGCAGTAAAGCTTTCCAAATGTCTGAAAATTAAAATAGTCGTCTGGAGAAGCATTATAGGACGAAAGCGGTTTATCAGTGACCCTGTGTGAGCCGGCCAAGGATTTGTATTAAATTGGTTATTGGTTTGATATGACATTAGCAGACAGGCTGATACTCCTCTCACCCTCAGCTACGACTTCCAGATATTTACTTTTAATTTAGTTGTACATCTCATTGAAGGCACCATACTGCCCATGTTGAGTGATTTGTGTGCGGTATTCCTGGCCATTACTGCCCTTGTCGTCCTCCAAGTAAGAGGGGACCAAGATGTTTTCAGCAAAAAGTTGCAGATATTTCAACTGGAAGCTCACATTTCCCTCATCACAGGGAAGCTGAAGGCAGAGTGTAGTGGCCATGTCGACCCTGCCCCAGAACACGTCATGCTGATTGGGCGCCGTGCTGTCTTACCGCTCGACCTGGATCTGGAGATAGAATTCAAGAAAAACCTGTTTGACCAGTTGATGAAGGTAAATAAGTGGCACCATGGTTCCTCTACTTACTACAGGAGGTTACTTTCTCTAAAACAATGTAGGTAAAGAATACATGCATGTACTGCTTTCAGTTATCTTACATTATCATGCTGACTTTCCTCAAAGCAAAAAGCTAAACTTAAAGACTGGACCATTTCCTTTCTGAACAAACAGAAAACTGCTATGGTAATAAATATATAGGGAATATTGAAAATAAATCCCCCGTTCCACATTTTGCCCGTTGTTATACATATTATCTTCTGATTCCGAATATTTTACAACAATACTGTAGTTCAGGTTAACGAACAAGAAGTTTCAAAATATACGTCTGTATTATCTTCCAGTTGTATGCGCAGTGTAAGCAGCACCAGACAACGTTCCGCACGACACTATGGCGGACAACATTCCGAACTACCCCGTGGCGGACAACATTCCGGACAACCCGCTGGCACAGCACTGGAGCTCCGTGGACTACAGCCCGCTTCCCGCTTACACTTAAACCTTCCCGTATGATGTCTACACCCCCCTTGCCACCCACCGTACCACCCACCTTACCACCCACCCTACCCCTGGGGCATTAGCTACATTCTTTAAAGAAATAAACTCAGAAACTCTCGGTTCGACTCACTTTTATCAGTTCTTAAAGGGAAAAATTAAACTACAAAAATACGATAACATTGTAACAATTTGGCCATTTGTGCAAAAGTATTATCCGTTTATAAAGTATTATCCGTTTATAAAGTATTATCCGTTTATTAAGTATTATCCGTTTATAAACCCTGAAGGTAACTGCGGTGAAATCGCACGCTTACCATGAGGTGAGTTTTTCCGTCAGTCCACCTTTATATTTCACGTTTAACAACAACAAGATTTTTTTCTTTTTCTTTTTTTTTTAGTGATAAAGAGATAACAACTGTTCGTATGAAATTCATATTTCACAATAGGAAATGTTGTAAACAATTCATAGAAATATAATTAATTCCAGTTTACCATCAAAACATCAGTTATCACAACTATTCTGGAATCTGTGCTTGCCATCAGACCACGCGGACCTTCATAGATGGCCATACCTCTGTAATAATCTCTTATGACATTATTACAAAAAAGTTAACTTTTTAGAAAATTTTGTACTAACTTTGAATGTCGAAAATTCGTTAACCATTGGTATGCATGGGAAAATTGTCGTTTTCAACATGAAAATCCATTTTGGGCCAAAGTACTCGACTGTTATCCCTTAAACAAACTTCAATTCAATATATACTCTACAGTTTGTTCATCTCCTGGAGAAACCTCGATCTTGAAATACTACAGACCATTAAGGTTAAATCAAAATCTCATTAATCTAACTTGAATTAAGCAGTGACCTTAATCTCGATAACGCTAACAACCTGACCTCGCAGCTTCTAGTGCTTTTCTGTGCGTTACTGCTTAGTACGCTATCATACAACTTATCAGAAATGACATGATAAACATGTAATAAGGGAGAGTTAAAGTAAAGTAACCTGCTTAATTTAACAATCACAGACTACTTAAAGTAACGACTACACACATACAACTTCCAGACAGATGCATGGAAACACGTTAAATGTCTTATGAAGAAATAAGCATTTTTCTGAATGTTTTAAGTTTAATTTCCATAGTATTTTCAATCACACATTTAAAAGTGAAAGGCGATCGCTAAATGATTTCTTCAAGCGCAATTGTTCAACCAAAGCACTCTATCTGCTGGGTGAGATAACCCGCTTGTTGACGTGGAGTTGAAATGAGGTCAAGAACTGCCCGCGAAACCTTTGCAACAACGCAATAACAAAAGCAGTGAGCAGGCGTGTGTAGGCTACTCCAATAACCTGCCCAGCAGTATATACCTGCCAACTTGTAGACCATTCTCCTACTGTTAACAGATTCAACCGATGTCTCAAGTACGCACGACGTAAGTACAGTTAATTAGTACAGCATAATTAGTACGAACAAATCTGATTTATAAACCTAATGAAGGTTTGACATTATAATGAAACCGTCAATTTGTCTTCATTACACTAGTGTTTCATTATCTTAAGTTCATGTGGAATTAAGCACATAATCGTATTACCCCGTATTTCTTCATTTGCAATTATTCCTTCCCATAGCGAATCAAACTCCGCTTGCTGACTTTCCCTGTCAAAAGGGTGTTGCATATATGCGCTACCTTAACTTATTACTAGTTATAGTCTGTTTACGTTTTATTATTAATACAACCCAGATAAAGTGCTCACAGATAAGAGAACGACCCACATGACCGTACAGCCAGATAAAGTTGTGTACGTGTATTTGTGTCGTGTTCCTGTCGTGTTGTCGCTAATGTTTGAACTACATAACGCTTCAGAGGACAGAGAAAACGAAGTGCTATATCTGTTTCACTTCAATCTTGTTGACATTGTGCTTGTCTCCCATCTCGTTTTTACTGACATTTGACTGGGTAAGATATAAACAACAAGATATTAACCCTCTATAATCCAACTTGTGTTCGCATTATTCTTGACTCTTGTTCCATAATCGACAAAATTTGATTTGTTCGGTTTGATAAGGCCTACTCTACACTTCAAGTTGACATTCTGACAGACTGCATTACCAGCACCTTGCTGATCACTTCTGAATAAAGATGTGCTCGCTCACACAGCCAAACATACAGCAGGCTCTGGACCGGTTTTTTTCTATCGACTGCAGTTTTCATACCATGTCAGCCACCAATTTCTCTATAAGAGATCAGGTGGAATTCTGCTGGGCTGTCGACCGTCTGGTCAAGACCATAGACGCCAGCAAAGCTCAGAATACGTTTTACTTTGGTTGGTATCAATACGTCCTGATAACAGTTGGATTCTAATCACGTACAATCTCTGACCCTGAGATGACATATCGATTAAAATCACCGGTTTAATCCACAAGTCTAAGAAATGACGCGCGTTCTAATGAATTACCACTAAGTAAAGGGTTCGAGTAGGAGTGGAAAAGAAAGAGAAGCTTAAAAAAGGCTACTAATAGAAAGAAAGTGTAAGTACCATTACGAGAGAGAGAGAGAGAGATGAGACAATTCTGTTGTATGATAAAATGTTTTTCCAACAACAACTTTAGATCAAGATTGTTAAAATGTACCACTCCTTTATTTCAATGTCTCACAAGGCACCCTTCACCGGCGAGTTAGGCTGTATGTCGGAAGAACATCTTTGAATTATTTTCATAACTTTAGGTGCATAACACAGTGGATGATATTATTATTTACAGTATACGGTTTACAATACCAGTACACTACAGTACGCTAAGGGTTACTGAAAACACAGAGCTGGCGTTACTGTCCCAGTCCCCCCCGTACTGACCCGTATTTCGGTGAACGCGGGTGACCTTTAGCTAGTTTAGTCTTTCAACTGATTACACCTATATATAGGCTGCTGGATAGGAAAGTAGGTTCTTGTTTTGCTTTCTGTACACCACTTGTGGTTGCTAAGCTCTGATAACTCACGTTGTTCTTTTTTATAAAATTGAAAGTTATGCACCCCTTAGATAGGCCGTTACTTAGTATGCAATATTGATAGTGGATGATTGTCATATAAACCCTCTAGCCATGAGCGGGAGATAAGATTATTCGTGAAATGATTATTGATTAATAAGCCATTAAGGCACCTTTTAGTTTAGAAGAATCGCACTTGAACGCTCCTCTTTAGATTAGCGAATACCGACATGTTTGATTCGACTTAATCTGATCCAAATTTAACCTTTAATTCTTCCGGACAGTGCATCGGCCTACTTGGATTTTCTACCTTCTTGCCGAGAGGAATATCGATTTTCAAAGCTTATCCTATCTAACCTTTATTTGGACAGTGAAAGTGAACATAATACGATGCGACAACCTCTCTTACATTGTAAACGGAAAAAAAACAAACTTACTCAGCATTAAAGCCGGTCGGCCTGAAAATATCATCAAACAGAAGTATAGAAATATGTTGAACTAACGTTTCTTTTTTACATAATAATCCTCGTGATCTGATTGATTGGGAAAAAAGTTGCTGTTGATGAACAGGAGAATTAATTTAAGCCACAGGGGACAGAACAAATACAGATAAGATAAACCGGTATGATTCTATAGGCATATTGTCTTGAGGAGAAGTTTAAATGGTACCTGAAAGGTTCATCTTTGCTTCATCATGGCGTGCGGCCATTACAATATACCGGGTAAAGGTCTCGTGATTGTTATCTCTGCATCGATTTTTCTCTATATTTTGTATTTTGATACATTTTATACCTCCATATCTAAAATAGATAGTACTTGTTAAAAATAATAGAACAATTGTTAGATATATAATGGAACGATTGCTTGTATTCCCTGACTGTTTCAAATTTAGTCAGAGAGTTATTGTGAAGAAAGGATAAATATTTATGTTACGTATTTTTTTTCTTTTTTATTTCCAGCCAGATGTGCTGACCATGCCACCACCCCGTTCCCCCACCACCCCCCGTCCCCCCTCAGACCAGCGGTTATGTCTGCTAGGCAAACAAAACCACGACCTCCAGGCTAGGCTGCAGACACTGACCACCAACATTGACAAACTAGATGGCAGCACAACGTCAATATCACTGGATAATTTTGAAAGGATATCCAACGCGTATGAAAACCTCTATACGCATGGAGGATTCCGTAGAAGGAGGAAGTCTCACGAAGGAGTGGTTCCAAATGAAAGCCGGTCCCAAGAATCGAGCACAATGCAAATGGATTTACTTGGGCTGCCAACTGAGAACTCGCAGCAAGACATGGAGACAAACAGTATTGTCCAACCTCGGCGCCATTCCATATCTGAGGGGGATCTTCCTCGGCAACGTCACAGATCACATACCGTAACCCATTGTGTGACACTCAGCCAAACGACTAACATCCCTGAAGATGAACCAGACACGCTTTCCGCTTTGAAACGATCGACACGCACACGGGAAGTTTGTCCTGGTGATGTACAAACTGCGACTGCAGTCACTGTCACTGAGCTGTCAGCGGGCGTCACCCCCACGGCAAAACTTGGCGAAGATTGTCTCTTCCCTCCCATTGTTCCTGCACGCAGACGACACTCCATCGATGTTTCTGCTGACCTTGGGCGCCATCTTCACCGACTATCGCCTGAGGGGTACAAGGGTTCCTTTGAAAGACTTGAGACGATTGGCGAGGCTGCAATGGCCCGGTTACGGCCCCGCCATGACCCCAGTCACCACAGGGGGATACCAGCCCATCTTTACCCTGAATTCTTCCACATCTACTGTCATGACTCCCCTGGCGGCAGGTATCAACATCATGAACCTTTCCATGGCGCTGGTCCTAGGCGGCGGTCACGATCTCTTGGTGCCTCCGACCTGATGCCGTCAAGACATGGAGAGCGGCGAGATCACCCCCACGTACCACCCCCTATCCCCGAGTACCGCGTCATGTCCAGTCTCCGTCCCTCAAACGCAGTAGTCCAGGCAGGGGAACAGGGCCTGGCCTCGTGGTGCGGGATGTCCAGGAAAAGGTTGGAGAGAGTGCAGGCTTTGGACAACAACGGTGAAGGGAAACAGGCCTCGGAATATCAATGAAGACAATGACATGTTTAAATAAATGATCTGCAAAGTTTGATTCATATTTTTTATATTATGGCCTACAGTTTATTGGATGCTGGCATGGCTAACCAGTTTACCTAGCTACTCAGTGTTGACGGACTTTATGTACAAAACAATGGGCAGAAATGTTTTATTTATTTCCATGAACGTGTAGTGCCTGCGCAGTGCTACAGAGCAGTGCAGATGTGACAATGTGAGCGTGTCTCACCTAAAGCAATCTCACTACTGCCAGGCCCTAGAGTTCTCATTGCATTTGTAGAGAACGTAAGTTACGGTTGTGACAAATTGCCCTCGAGTGTGTTTGAACTCCTAGTGTGGCCATACAGTTAATTGTGTGTGATAACGTGAAAGTCGAGGTCTCGTGTTAGACCACCAAACTCTCGGTTTACATTTACAGAAAGAGCTGTTCGCAGATGTTACACATATTATTTCACAAGAGCCTTGATGTAATATTTATCATTAAATTATCCAGACTCGTGATTGATCGTCTTCTCTTGTTCGGAACCTGCGTAATACATCATTTTTTCTCTTTAGAAGTTATTATTGCCACGACATTTGTTTTATTCTTTTTATTCTTCTTCACGACTGTCCGTTAATGAGCAGTCGCCTGAATTACCTCAACATCTTGCAAATTGTTCGCTTTCGACGTTGAGAAACCTCTCTCTCTTCCACACACACACACACGTTGGTGTAGACTGACAAAGACAAACAACGGAATATATTCAGAATACACAGAGTATTTATTTTTGACGTGAGAATTTAACTATTCATAGTGGATTTTTACATTTACGTTTTTTAAAAGAGCTGACTTCTTTTTCTTGCGATATATTCTTAGGCTGAGGTAGCTGTCGAGTATACAGTAGTTAAGAGTAATGTCCTCAAACTTCACACAAATAAAATATCATTGCAAACTGCTTCTGAATGTTAAAAGTAGCGATGAAAAAGTGGCAAATCTCTCCTCCAAATGTTCTGTGGAACTGAGACTGTAACTTGAATCTGCCACAAACACAGACAGAAAAATGAAACCCATTTGAATGTCTCTGTAAAACTGATGATTTAATTTCACAGTGATTATAATCTAATTTTGCTCTCCCTTTCGTGAGACACAGCAAGATAGATATAAATAAATTTAAAACTGGGAACATTGTGAGCTAAGTATGAATAATACAGGGCAGTTTAACTAAGACAAGTCACGGCATTCTGCATCTGACTCTTAATTTTAATTGCTGGGACAATGCTATTTTGTCCACTAAGTTCCGCATTCTGGACGCCGACGCGTGCAGATTTAATAGCCGACCACGTTAGCCTAATGACGGCGTTTAACTAAGTAGATAAGACAGCCCTCTTGAGAAATTCTTCTTGGGAACAAGGGGGGATAGTTTGGCAATTTTTGCCCAAGATTCCTCCAAAATTTCTGACGATTTGACACGACAAATTTTAATCTTTTTGTGAAACATTTTCAGCTATTACACTTACTATTACATCCCTCCGCCTTTGGAGGTTATCCTTACTTTAGTCTAGCTGCTGTAACGCTGTATGAATCAAAATAATCTGATGGCGTTCACCTTTTTTTTTTTTTTACTACATTGTGCAGTTCTTCATAGCTGCTTAACAACCAACACTGATTATTGACACTGATAAACATTATACCACTCTTTAAAAACAATTCACCATGTCATTTAACAGGTATACAAGTTTCGCCGCTGTAAGTAGTACATACACAGCACTTGAGCGTGAGGTATAACTAGTAATAAAACATGCATAAAATACAACGTGTGGCATTGCACATCAACATGAGTTTCAACTTCGGGCACCATAAATACCGACTAACACCCCAACTGGCATTTGTCTTTTCTATCAATCATGGTTTCTGCTTCATGTAGGCACCAGAATAATGTTCACTGGTAAGTTCTCTAGATAGGCACAGTGAATAACTGCCTGTCGTGGTTGATTCTCATCATGTCCTGGAGAAGTTTGTTATGTGAGGTTGCTCGGCCTGAGTAGATGACAGAGTTCGACACCACGATAGATGGCGTTCTTGCCTGCTTCTCTACCGACGTTAAAGTCTTTGGAGTAAACGCTGTCGCTCGACATGAAAGTTTATCCATTGTAGAGCTATACAACTTATCCCTGGAAGAACGCTTGTTTGATTTGATTTGCGATCGCGAGTCTTTGCTTTTGCTTTGGGTTTTATTTTCCTCGGAAGGAGAACAGACATGCACATCGGCTGTAACAGTCTTTGTGAGCGCATGCGTCTTGGTGTCAAGTTTTGTAGTTGATTTCGTACTTTGATCTTGGCAGGAGTTTGCTTTGACACCGTAATAATGGCTGCAGTCGTCAAATTCCGAGAGGGGAGAGTCTGTGTAATGTCCGGAGTCCGTGGAATTGTCTGACACAGTGGTCACCGTCGTCAGGGAGACCGTGTCGGCCGCCGTGGACGCTTGCGACGCAGCGTAAGTTGCATATGTTGTAGACACCGACTGCGCGTCGTCTGTTTCTGTCTCAGATTCGCGTATGATACGCATCACGTCTTGTTTCAGCTCTAAATTCTGGCGACATTTGGACAAGAAATATTCGTAGGCATCCATGCTGTCAGAGCCAGAGGATACACTGCTGTCTGCAGAGCCGTACGTGCTGCCAGTGTCTGAACTGGAGACACTGTCCCTGTCCATACAACCTGTGTCTCTGACACACTTTTGGTGGCGTTTCCTTGGTGACCGTTTCCTTGGAGACGGTGCAGATCCCTGAGAATTCAACGATGTATTATTTTTCTTCTGTTTATTAATAATCTCAATAGACTCACGTATGAGTTCATGTAGGGACGCCAGAGCGTCTGATTTGAGCATTGTTGGGGTCACCTCGGACTGCCTGTTAACCTCCTGTGAGTTGTCAAAGTGTGCAGTATCCAAGATGGCGACAGCGCCTCCGCCATCTTCCTCCCCCAGTGTCATTACTGACATCCCGGAGATGGAGCAGTAGATTTCCTCCTCATCATCGAACGCGTCCTCGCTTTTAATGTCAACTAAACTCTCCTGTGATTCACTGATACCATGACAACCCAGATCCATCATATCTGAGTCGTCACCATGGCAACATTGTACAAACCGATCATTGCACTGATCGTTATGTGATTGTTTAGCATCATATGTGATTTGGTTGTGATTTTGCTCATCTTTACAAGAGTCAATGCTGTTTCTCTTCATACGCTGTTCTCGCATTCTCAGCCACTGTTTGTTCATCCGTAACTCCAAGTCTGGCGGGCAGACGCTGTTCACGCGGCTTACTGTACTGGTTCTGTCTGGTTTTTCAGGAGTTGTGCTGCAGGAGGTGTGAAATGTAGCATTATCCTCCCTTGTGTGACCACACACTCCCTGCTTCCCAACTATGGGGACAACTAAGTACGGACCTACCTCCGCGGCACGGCAGAAGTCTAAGTCAGGAAAGGGGGGCCTATTATTATCATCCACAGCGGGATAGTCAGGTAAGGTTTCCCTAGAGAGCGCTGGGATTTCTTCATAGATGTGCATCAACAGGTCGTTCTGGAGCTGAGACGAGGAGCGGCGGGTGTCCAGCATATCGGGCACTAAGGAGGATTGAAGACCAGCAGGGTGCTGGGGGGAGAGACTGGAGTCTGATTCTGCTGAGGAGGCGTTTGCGGCGATTCTGACTTTTGGCTGTTTCCGGCGCTTGATCCACTTGATCAGTTTGGGCAAGTTAGACGACGACATCTTGGTTTGTTTCATTGGTGTGTCTTTAAAGGCTTGTTACCATAGCAACCTACAAATAAAAACGAGATCGTGAATTATTTATATGCTGGTATGTATTCAACAAATGCTGGACATCTGAATAGTATGGCAACCAGCAGGAATTATGTGTATATGGTGTTATACCAAGTTTTTAGGTACCACAAGAACACACCACTGGACCTTGTGGTTAATACAGTAATAAACACGCAAAATAACCTGGAACTGGGGCAGATGTTACAACTGAACCACCACATTGGTGCAGTTATTGTAACAAATACACCAAGGGATTGTCTTTGATAAGACGTCACTGTTTGTAACAAACAGGGAGTCCTTCGTTACAGTCACCTCACGCCTCTCTATACTCCAACAGAAGACAATCATATTATAACAAGACCCTCGTACACTGCGCTACTCTGTTTTACACTCCGCATACCTGATAAACAATTGGTCCTGAGTTGGTTCTTCAAAAAGCTAAACACAATTCCAGTTTGTAGAAATACTTGCAAATCCAACCTCTATCCCAGACTCAGAGCTCTAGAGGTCTTCTCTCTGTGAAGGTTCGAGGTAAAGTGTACCATAGAGTGAAGTGAATCCCACGTTATGACTGATCTCAGCTGGTCCTCGTCACACAGATAGTGGCTTGAATCCACCAACCAATAACAAATTGCCTTTCATTTCTCTTCCTCGTCAGCCTTCTTAGGCTGTTAGCAGCCCCGTGTCTCACCACTGATTGCTATCTCCTGACACTCGGGACCTATTATTTTCTGACTCAGATACGCGCTAGCGTTCTTTCCTCCTCACACGGTTAAAACGCACCTATCGTACACCTGGTACAGCCAGAGTTGACGTGACCAGGTGACATATCCTACCTGTCGCGCTAGATCTACTCCACTTATTAGAGCTATGAATAGGGAGATCTGCAGCAGGGAAAGCCCCGGTGTACGTTTAGCCAGGGTTGACCATCTCGCGGTGCCTGTCTTGCATGTGAAGGGTAATGTTCAGTTCCCTAGCTGGGGACAGGCTTACATATTATCATAGCGTGGATGGGTGGGAGAACGGAGCCGGGAAAACAAACAATAGGTCATGTGACACTAGCAATTATTGGCAGTGTAATCTGCACGATAATCTCGCTGCGCCAGGGTGTTTTTTAATTTTTCCCATAAAGTTTCCCTTGTTGTGAGATAACCTCTTTTATTTGCGATCAAATTATTTTTCTCGCGACAGATGATGCATGTACAACAACAGTGGTATTTTACATATGTACCATTTACAAGAATCTGAAGAAATGTTCCTCAAAATGCTGTCTCCTCGTTAATCTAAAACATCTCTCACACATCATACCGCATACCCATCTAGTAACTTCTACACACCGAAATGTGAAAAGGGGATATAAATTGTAGTAAAACAGCAACTCATGACGATAAGATTATTCCGCACAGCGTCTTAAGAAGCCAAACAGAAGACCCATTTCAGGTGTGACGGCAGACACCATGTCCGGAAACTGGTCTTGTATTGTTGAGCAATAACAGAACTTAACATCGACGAACTAAATGCACCCAGGCACGTTACTAATATCTGTAAGAATATTATCCTAACGCAGTTGACTTTATCTTCATTTAACTTCCACATCATATAAATCCTTCAGGTGCCAGTTTTTTTGAAATTTTCATTGTTTTGCGCTCGTACCGGGATTTTCAGTAAGTGCCACAATACCCCCCCCCCCCCCACCTTGTTTGGCCCTGTTTAGTTTTTGAAATAGTTCTACACAATAAATTAAAATAAAGCAAAATCTGAGAGGCTTATGTTCCAATGCCCCGGTGTTATTTTTCTGATTCTTACATAGACTGACAATAACTTAACTAAAGTTGGTCGGTACTAAAGCAATAATAACAGAAGCAATGATAACTCGCGTCATACATACGTAAGAATTTATGTCATACATACGTAAGAGTTTGCCACCTGTGCAAAATAACTTCTGGAGCCTCTTATTCCGAAAACTCAAAAGTTTCCAATATGCGAAGGCGGCAGCATTCTAACACTGGAAAAATATTTTCTGCAAACGACCCGTCTGATACATGAAATAAGGGAACCAGTATAAAATGTTCTCCCTTGTCGAAGTTAGAACCTTAGTGAGTATGTAAAAAAAAAAACACTCAGACTTTGCACAGGAGGGTGTTTCATTCAAAAACACCTTTAAATAGATAACGATTTATAACGAGAATCACAGTGAGACACGACATCTAAATACTTCCAGTACCAGCGGACGGTTGTCGCAAGACATACCAGACACATACAAGGCTAGGGCGTCTTCTACTTTAACTGCTAGTAACATGGTACAATATTGTCCAAATACAGAGATTTTAAACAAACGGGAAATACTTTTGAGTCGTTAACATAAGTCGAAATATGTAACTATAGAACAGGTGTAATTCAAGCATAATAAACGGAATAGGTTGACACAAGCATGTCCCTTTTGTGTGGATTTTATACATTTAAGTAATTAAGTTTCTCTGTACATTTATTATTATTATTATTATTATTATTATTATTATTATTATTATTATTATTAAATTTCAAAGGTGAGCATATAATGCCTAGGCGAATTGCCACCTTTATTTATACTGTATCAATATTTAACCCTCTTGAGAATAAAGATGTTTAAAAAAATTGTGTGATATTTTGGACGTCACCACTATCTTATTTACATCGCTAAACCAATCGACAAATTAGTGTGAAAAAATGATGGAGGGATTGTCGTTGCGAACGCTAACAATTCAACCTACACATCTAAGAGTTGTGTTTTGATTTGGTTACTCAAAAAAGTTTATTTTTTTCTTCAGATCCTAAAAAACATCAATCTTCGACCCCACAGGAAGCAAAGACGTGGCCAGACCTGGGGTTAGCCTGCCCTCTAGACGTAATAGTTACATTCTGAAGGTTTAAAACCGCTTTTACTGACAGGGGTAGGGCCGTCAGCGGTGTAAAGATGTATTAATAATCTTTATCGACCACTGATAATATAAAAATACCCTGATTGTGGTGAGTGTCGTAGTCAACAGAGGAAGACATCCAGGTTACATGGTCAGGGTTTACCCTAAAACAGGGACCAGAAGACGTCACGGATGGAAAAACAAAAAAAAAATTAATTTTTAAAAGTTTCCTAAGGTCACCGGATTGAAACTGCCTCCATGAATCTATGGGATTGACTGCGGGGGCAGCATCTGGCTCTTCAGTTTTCCCACCAGCCCTGGGGCACTAAGGAGACAAAGAACACAAAGACCAATAAATAAACCCCTTGAAGTCAACTTTCCACCTGTCCTTATATCAAGGCTAAAAACAAACGACCCAATTAACAATCCACAAGTGAGATCTGACTAATTATTGTCCGTCACCTTTGTCACAGAAAAGGGTAAGTCTCATTACTATCCATTAACAATGTCACAGAAAAAGATCTGCCTAATTACTGTCCGTCAACAATGTCAGCGAGACATGTCAAACTGGGACCTCACTGGCCACATACTGGACGCTAGGACAAAGCTGCCTGCCACTGACCGCGGGTTCTACACTGGGCAGAGCTCTTTAACAGCGCAGACAAAACCACAAAGTAGGTGTAAAACAAGATAATATCCAGCTGAAAGCCCATGTGAACTGATTTCCACCAGGAACGTACTACATGGAAGAGAAAAAAAACGTACGGTGGACACCATGTTGAAGGGAACACCCCTCAACACACAGACAACCCTGCTGACTCTTTCAGTGAGAGAATGACGAGATTTCGCCAGCCATTAGAACTGTGACATGCTGATCGGTAACAATACTCATTTGAACTTCTTTGGCAGCAGTGACGATACAGAGGTAGAAATGACATATGTGATGTATGTTAACCAAACACCAAGAGTTGTGGAAGGAAATCGACCTTGAAGACTCAGCAAAGACCGCCAATTTTGTCATAGATAGGAAAACCATCATTTTCATTCTTTACATTTCATAATAAGCAATACGCCTACACAACACATCCCTTTTCGGGTTTCTTTTTCATTGGGACATTCTACGTATCACACTAACTGAACAAAAGAACTTTGAACGATATGTACTTGTATCATGTTTGTAAAATTGATAGGTTTTACATAATATTCTTCCTCCACCCAAAACCAGCCACATTGTGTATGAAATGCTCAATCACATATAATTCCTCGGCACAATTCATTTTTCTCCACCCAAAAGATATCACATAATAAAACAATAGAAGGGTATGTCAGCCCCCGTATATTTGGCCAGTCGTGTATCATTATGTCTCTGTGAGTTGCGTGCCCCGCGCCATCAGTGGTCAAAACAGAGCCATGAAGATACTCCTGCTGCCACATGAAATATGAGCAGTACTCGAGGCCTATAGAAAAAACTTGCCACACAATGTAGCGATATATGTTGTGGTTCCGAAAACAATTATGGGATCTGAAGATAATTGTGGGAAGATTTTTTTAGACTGAATGGCCAGTGCTGGACATAGGCCAGTTCCCATGGTGGACGGGGGAAGTGTCCAGTGTCGTCCAGTGAATCACGGGTAAATGTGGCCTAGTGTGAGTGGGATGTAGGGAGTGTGGGACGGGTGGAGGAGGACGGTAAGGGGGAGGGGGGCTGGACGCAGGGAAGGAGGAGAGAGAGCGATAGTGGGATTAAAGAAATAACACAGTAATACCACCAATGCTACCAAACTGCATATTTAAATGAGGAACAAGGAAAACGACGCGCTAGGTAAATTTTACATATATTAAAACTGAGGAAAATGTTCGAAATTGAAGCTATGTAGTCATCGTGTCACTGTATGAGGAGCAGCTGATATTAGTAAGCATGAGATCAGATGGGGACCACAATTTCACGCCTCAAGGTACCGTTATAATAGACGGTTATAACTATACACAGCACGGTCCGTACCACATATGTTAGTCTCATCTTAGAAGCCCTGCTTTAGTATAACACTGATAGCATCATGTATATCCTGAATTTCATCTGGTATCTAACCGTAAAGTCATCCATATGGACAGTTAAAGAGAAGCTGTGTATTTGGAATATTTTCCGCCTTTTGCCCTGCAGTAGTGATACGAGCACAGCCAGAGTATAATCAGCTGGAATAAAAATATGACAGGTGCTGATTATCTTTTTCTACTTGGCTGGACGTTTTCAGGCCTTCCGGGTTAAATGTGTCATTTATACGTCAGAAATAACCTTGTTGATTTCTCTAGAGCTAATTTATGTTAAATAATTCCCAGCATCCTCCGGGTACAGTTTGGTTATTAATTCTGAACGTAAAGATTAATGTATTTGGCCTTCAGGAATGATAAAACTAAGGTGGCAGTTAAGTTAAGAATGAACCTCCTTGTTTACAACCAGTGTAGCAGGAAACTGCAGTTCTCCGCACCTCTCTGGCTGTCTTCACGGATGTCATGAACATGTCATGAACATGTCATGAGTTTATCTTTTCAAACCACACTACAGATGTTATCGTGTCTTACATCATGACATCATATACAATTCACGCATGTTACTGTTAATACATTTATTTATTACATATCCTTTTGTGACATTGGTTTGCTGTTGACTAGTATCTCCCTTTGATACATTTTTTTCTAAGCTCGGTGCTTGAGTTCTGTTGTTACTTAAAATTATCTGTTATACAACAGACGTGGATGCGGCTACGAGTATCTACTTGGTAAGATAAAACTCCTCTGCCTGTCCCCCCCCTTCCTCCCCACCCATCCCCCCCCCCCCCCCCCCCCGCCTCTACCGTTATCTATGGTGTTTATTGGGATGAAAAGCCGCCAACTACGACACCAAGGGGAACAACTTTGTGAAAAAGACACAAAATTTAAAACAAACAAAAAACTCCCTGCAATATAATAGAGCGGAACATAATTGTGACATCTATATTTAAACGTTACAAAGTAAAGCAAGACGTCCCCGAGGGACATTATCTTATTTGAAGATGATGTCTGCGTCAACGCGAGTAAAAATAATAACAACGCGGATCGTTCTCACATGAATTTAAGGCAGAGACAAGGAAGGTATTTGAATGAAGACTTTGAAAATAGCCCAGATTAGTTTAGATCTATGTTCCTGGTTCTGTGCATGTATTAGTGCCAGTCGTAGACAAAGGCCCCTGTCAGAGAATACGAGTGAGAACGCGGCACTGACACCATCAACATCGCGGTCACGTTCTCGGCTAACATCTCGCACGCTTCAATTAACAAGATAACAGATCAAGCAAGGCCCTCCTCTCCTCTTAATGACCCACCTGGCGTCCATTGCCCCAGATCCAGGCTTCTTGACCTGTGGTGACATGACGCCGCACGTGGGGACCTCCCTCCCTCCTCTCTTGCCACGGTGGGACAGGTAGAAACCAGCTTTTTTCGCACCCTTTTGTCTTCCACGACAGTCGTAACTTAACAGATTTAACTTTCACGCCTGCGAGCTTCATATCTTAGAACATAAGACAATAATATGGAAGAAACGTGCCCCTCACTTTCCCCATCATCGCCGTCTTCTTGCAAACGATACTCTGAAGCTGCTGCTGTGTGTGCAGTGATTACCTAGCACTGGCAGTGCCTGCAGACGCTGTCGTCGTCGTGGACGCGCAGTAATTAGAGGTGTATTGATGATGGATGGGACGTTGACGTGATGGGCCCTTAATT